CATAATAGTCATCACCATCATCACTATCATCAGCATCGTCAGCAGCATAAGCATGAGAATCCTCTTTCTCCTCATCCTCCTCTTCCGCCTCATCATCATCGTCATCAGCAGCATCATCATCAGCAGCATCAGCAACAGCATCAGCATCATCATCATCAACAACATCATTGCCATAATAATCAAAATCACAACCAGCATCATCGTCTGAGCCACCACCAACAACACCATTAACGAAAGCATCAGCATCACCACTATCACCCATCAATATAACAGGTCTTCAGTGTTCCAATAAATCCATCATCTACCTATCTATCAAAGTACAACTGATCAATCAACCAACCATCATCAACCATCCAACCATCAGCCAACAATCCTCAATCACTACTCATCAACCACCAGCCTTAAATCACCAACAATACAGTACCAATTACCGGCATCAGCATCAGCATCATCATCATCACCATCGACCTCATCATCCTGATCATCATCAGTCATTGAAGCAACACTTCAAATCAACCAGCCAGTCATTGACCACCAGTCATCAACCGTCAATGATCAATACTCATCATCACCATCATCAGCATCATCAGCATCAGCAGCATCAGAATCATCATCAGCAGCATCATCAGCATCATCGGCATAAGCATTCTCATCAGTATCATCAGAAGTATTGCCACCATCATCAGCAGCAGCAGCATCAGAATCATCATCAGCAGCATCAGCATCATCATCGGCATCAGCATCAGCAGCCCTCGCAGATCCACAGACTTCCCACCTCCTGCATCGCACCTCCTCCGTCGCCTGGCCCTCCCTCGCCCCTCCTCCCTCCTCGCCTCCCCCTCGCCTCTCCCTCGCCCTCCTCCTCCTCCTGCTCCTCGCGGAGCCGGCGGCGGCTGCCGGCAGGCCCCCTGATCACTAGCTGCACAACATACAACTCTGTACCCGCCTGGGGTGCGGCGACGCTCGCAGCCTGCCTGCTGGGAGCCACCGCTGCGAGGGGGCTCCGAGTCGTTTCTCCGAGCTCCGCAATGTGTTTGAGCGTGCCAAGCGTCTTATTGCGAAGGGCCTCTACCCGAGGGGGTACAGGACCGGCAGTGTGGGCCTCGCGAACCCTTCGCTTCAGATCGATGGGCGTATGGTTAATAATTCGAGTGCGGTCTTCCGGCGAAAGATAAAGCTCTTTGCCCCTAGAGTGGTCAGCATGCCCGACATTAATCTCCTGATCGCCCTCTTGGGGCGGGAGATCAATGGGCATCTGCGGCAGCCGCCCGGGCAGGCAGGACGACGGCCACGAGGAGCGAGGGGCTTCGAGGACCGAGGCCCCCAGAGCTGTGCTGCTCCCATCGCACTCGAGAGCCACATCCCAGGAACGAGTTCGAGCATCCGGAGAAGTGTCGAAACAGCGTCTACCCGACACGTGAGCGAAGCGTCGAACGAGTTCGAGTAGGGGATCCACTACAGAATTGATCTGCCCCGAAATTGATGTTTCGTCGCATCTAGAAAGGCAAAGGGAAAACGTTCGTGGACTGCTATGTAATTCTTTGGCGATTAGACGAACAAAAATTGGGGTAAATCTATGTTGCACTTGATCTCCTGTTCCTACTCGAAGAGTATCGCCTCCCAGGTCCCGACACGTGAAACTCTTCCAGTGTTGGTACTTTCGGCCCTCTTCGGCCCTCTTCGGCCTCCCAAGAAGGCCCCTGCCCTGGCGGGCTCGGGGTGTACAAAGCAGCCATGGGAAGGAGTCGAAACCTCGGAAGGGGGTAGGGGGGACACTACGAAAACGCGGCGGCGAGCGAGGGGCGGAAGTGAGAAGGAGAAGGCCTTCTCAGAGGGTTCGGAAGTCCCCCGACCTTCTGAGAAGTTTCTAAGCCTTCCCCGAAGACACAGAAAACTTCTCAGAAGGCGCGAGGGCTTCCGAGAAGTCCCGCCGCCTTCTGAAAAGGGCTTCTCTTTCTCATTTCCCTCCCTCACTCGCCGCCGAAAAACATCATGACGCTGGGGGCCTGGGAAGAGAGCCCCAAGATGGCCCCAAGATAACTCCAACAGAAGGCCCAAGATGGGCCCGGGGCGGCATGAGGTGGCCTCGGGATGGCCCTAGAGGCCCCTGAGGCGCTCCAAGTCGCCCCAAGGGGACCTCCAGGAGTCCCTCGGGAGGCTAAAAGTTATTTATTTCCAATATCTTGAATGGTGTCATGATTCTGGCCCTGTTGTGTTTCCGACAACCTCAGAAAGGCCTCCAAGATGTCCCCAAGACCGCAAAGAAGTCCCCGAAGAAGGCCCCGAGACGGAACAAAAGACCTCCAAGACGGCCCTGAAGCGCCCCAAGGTGACCCCAAGACGGCCAAGCTGGGTGCCCGCGCATCGCAAAAAATTGAGCGCTCGACGTATGGGGACGGCGCAAAACGGGAACAGGATTGACTACCCACCAAGCCACCCAAACCCAACCCGAAGTCGCCGTTGGGCCTATCAATTTCCAGCGGGGGGACATTCTGGAACATCGAGAAGGCACCGTGGAACCCGTACACACACACACACACACACACACACACACACACCAAGAAATTGGGGTGTCTTTGGGACCTTCGGGGTGGCTGGTCGCCGATGCATCGGAGATGCGACGCGCGCCTCCGACCCGCGTCTGGGCGGCTGGCACCTCGGAGGGAAAGGCTGGGAAAGATGCGCAGCTTGCGGACACTACCCTGATTAGTACTTCCTTTGGGAGCGCACCTGAGGTAACAGGTCCAAAACACCAGGGGCAAGGGGGTCTTTGCAGGAGATGTACCAAGCCAAACCGCCCAGGTGTACTATCCCGGATGCAAAAACGGAGATCTAAGTTAGGTTACGTCTTCGTTGTGTTGTTAGAGTTAAGGGTTCTTTGATTCTCGATGAACTCTGCGTCATCTCGTACATCGTCCTCGCGAATCGGCGACGGTCGACATGAACCATGACCAAGATCGGGCATCGACAAGATCCCGCGACATCTTGGCCCTGGTTCCCGTTCCCTTCTCTGGAAGAAAAGCTGTGCGCCCTGCGAGCCCAACCCCCACCAACCATCGAGTCTCCTGCATCGATAGGCGCCGAGGGCAGAGCTCGGACTTCGCCACGCATGCTCGACGAAGTCCGAACGCTGCCCCCACCGCCCATCGAGATGCCCGAACCGTGGATCGGCGAGGGAAGCGTCCGGACTTCGCCGCCGAGCTCCGTGCTCGAAGCGCGGGGGGTGGTCCACCCCGGCGGCGGCCGACTCCGCCCCCGGTCGGCGCACCGTGCCGTGCGGCGGAGGCCGGTCCAAAAGAAGCTGCCCACGAGGAGCCCGACCCTGAGACCCCAGAGCGTCCCTCGATGGTTGGTGTGGGCACGTCGTGCCTTCCATGGCAAGGCCTTCGAAGCCCAAGAGGACCAGGGCACCCTGGAGGCAGGCAGGGTGTCTCTTGGCATGGGCCAGGAGATCCCAGAATCGAATCGACAAGTCGGATCGGAAATCGACATGAATCGTATCGACGGAAATCGGCAGCCGAGTCGGGAAAAGTCGAGTCGGCAGACATCCACAGGCTAGTGGGCCTCCATTGAGAAACTGGATCCCCGATCGGAATCCGAAGCCGACACGGATCGGAATCGGAGTCCGTCGAAATCGAGTCGAATCGAGTCGGAGGGATCGAAACGAGCCCCGATAGGGCACCCACTGCATGTCCTGGCTGCCCCCCATCGGCGCACGGCGGTGGACCGCGGCGGCGAGTGGTCGACCTGGGCCGCTCGCGTCGAGGGCGGCAGCCCGTGGTGGCCAACCGGCGGATCAGAAGCCCGACGACACCATCCCACGTACGACCGAGCGATGTTCGATTGGTCAAATACGGGGCGTGAAAACGACCACAGCCACTGTGTTTCTTTTGTTGCCGCCTTCCAGCCCGCAGAAACAAAGCAGTGGTTGTGGTCATTTTCGTTGAGCTTGGCACCAGGGAAATGAACACAACCACTGCTTCTTTTTCGGCCAGCTGGAAGGCGGCGCAAACAAGAAGCAGTGGCTGTGGTCATTTTCCCGTCCCGCACCAAAACACGGGCCCCGTGACCCTGTGGGAGGGGGCCCAAGTTAGGAGGGCCAGGAACACTGGGGATAGGGGGTCTTTTCTGCAGGTGTACAACGACACCACCCCACGTACAACCCAGCGATGTTCGATTGACCAAAACACGGGCCCCATGACCCTGTGGGAGGGGACCCAAGTCAGGAGGGCCAGGAGCACCAGGGATAGGGGGTCTTTTTGCTGCAGGCGTATCGAACCGAACCGCCCAGAATCATGATCCCCCCTGCGAAGACGGGGACCTCAATGAGGCTGCGTATTCATCGTGTTGTTTGGGGGTGGGGTCTCTTTTATCGTTAATGTTGAAAATTTAGGCACTTGACAAATTAACTACGACCACCTACGGCCCACCTGCAACACCACCCCTGCTGCGACCCACCTGCGACCCAGCGGGTCGTAGGTGGTGTGGCTTCGATTGGTTCTTGTCGACCCAGCGCCCGGGACCAAATTCAGAGCAGCCGTCGTTTTGATGGCGTGCACATTGGAGTCGACGCCCCTGAAACATCAGCCCCCAGTCGGGGAGTCGTAGGACTTGGGCTCGGGCGACTCGGGCTGGCCCGATGAAGCCGTCCAGTAAATGACAAGACCCCCGCTGCAAACATCCCACGAAAACCTGACCGTAAAAATCAGAGACCGGACTGTCCAAAAACGTTGGCGAACCCTACTTCCGACGAACTCGAATCTGAATCGTGATCTACAGACCCGGGTCAATCTAAAACCGGGTCAGTCAGGCGTTGCAGGATGCAACAAAAATCCTGCACGATCATGCAGAATCCTGCACGCGAGCCCAGGTCAATGCACCCTTGACCCTGAGGGATCCTGCAAGATCTGGCGCTCTGACTGACCCCCCTTTGCATTGACCCCCGTCTCTTGAGCCCCGACTCACGTTTCAGTGACCCAGGCAGAGGCCGGCTCCCAGACCAAGCTCACACCTCGCCAGCACTGTGGCTGCGAGCATGAGGAGCGCCGCCGTCGGGCGGCGTGCGGAGAAAGTTGCCCGCTGCATCCGCCGCGGCCCCCCGCCCTGATGGGGGGGAGGGGGAGAAAGGTCCGTCGCCGTCGCGCAGGAGGAGGAGGAGGCCACGGGAGCCTCCCGAAAGGTTTCCAGGGGCGGCGGCCGTTATCGTCGTCGCCGCCATCCTACTCCTTGTCGTCGTCTAAAGGTCTCGTCATCCACGCCGCCTTCGTCGTCCTAGATCGCTAACGTTGTGGTCGTTGCTGACGTCGCCATCGACCTCGTCGCCGTCTTCCGCCTTTGACCACTGCCACCCCTCCCCACCCTAACACCTCCAACACCTCCTTATCTCTCCTTCTGCTCCTCCTCCTTCTCCTCCTGCTGCGCCTCCTCCTCATCAGAATCCTTCCTCCCGTCTCCCTTCTCCCTCCTCCACTGTCCACCTGTCCATGACTTTTCTTCATCCTCCTCGTCTTATTCCTCTTCTTCTTCTTCAACGTAGTGGTAGTATTGTTAGTGTGATCATATTACGAATACTCATTGTCAGAATTACCATTATTACTAATATGACGATTCGTCTTGTTATGATTTTGTTACCACGGTTTACATTGATATGAATCGTAGCCGTCTGCTTCGTAGACTCAGTCTTCTT